TTTCAGTTTTCCATAATATTATGTGATACATGGGATCCTCCCCTTCCGGACTCTACCCACTCACTCAGTCACTCACTCACCAAAAAAGCAAACAGCAAACATCTTACACTTCTTATTGAGTATTAATGTTTTCCTGTTACTTTATATATATTTTTTTTTCTCTTCACTTTCGTGTCACGATTTCAACACCGTTGCTTGTGCCAATACGTGCAACGCCGGCCCGCACGTACTGCAGTGCTGTCTGTCGGTCCCGCACCCCACCGCTTGCCTTCACGCGGGCTGAATTGCCGGCGACGGCGAGCATCACGTCCACGTCCGCCGGCCTGGCGCCGCCCGCGGGGTGAAATCCGGTGGAGGTCTTCACAAAGTCCGCCCCCGCGGCGATGGCGACGATGGCCGCGTCGATGAGACAACCCGCCGGCAGCGCGGCCGACTCCATGATGACTTTCAGCACCACCGGCGGCGGGCAGGCGGCGCGGACGGCGCGGAGATCCCGCAGAATATACCGCCAGTCGCCGTCCAGCGCGGCCCCAATGTTCAACACCACATCGACATCCGCCGCCCCGTCCGCCACCGCCGCCGCCGCCTCCGCGACTTTCACAGCCGTCGTGTTGGCGCCAAGCGGGAAGCCGCACGTCGAGCCAACCTTCACGCCGCTGCCGGAGAGATCATCCACGCAGAGCTTCACGCGGGTGCCATTCACACACACACAGTGCAGGTGGTGTTGGCGGGCCTCATCACAGAGGTGGAGAATGGCCTCACGCGTTGACTCTGCCTTTAGGAGGGTGTGATCAATATAATCCGAGAGATCCACCTCGGCATCATTGGCAGGCAACGATAGGGGTTTACGCCAAGAACCATCTGACACGTGAAGGTGTGGGAACTTGGATTCCAAGTCAGGTATCTGAAGCTCCTTGGAAAGGAAACGAACACGCTCGAGAATTTGCGCGTTTAACTTACCTGTATAACCAGGAAGCTCTGTCATGTGGAGATCAGTCATGATTGTTCAAGGATGGGGGAAAGTATGTGTTATCCGTTTTTCTTGGAAATATCAGTTGGAAAAT